AATCAGTGTCTCCTTTTCTAATGATACCTCCTCCCTTCGTCCTGTCTCGTTTGGAGTCCCCCAAGGTTCTGTCCTTGGTCCCCTTCTTTTTTATCTTTATACCGCCTCTCTTGGCAAACGTATTACCTCATTTGGATTCCACCACCACCTGTACGCTGATGACACCCAGATATATCTCTCCTCCCCGGGCCTATCCCCTGCCGTCCTGCAATGTGTCACTGCTTACCTTTCTTCCATCTCTGACTGGATGTCCTCCCACTTTCTGAAACTCAATCTCTCTAAAACAGAGCTCCTTGTCTTTCCTCCTCCAAATACTGATCCTCCTCTTTCACTCTCCGTTAAAGTTAGTGGTTTCCACATCAGTCCATCCTTGCAAGCATGCTGTCTTGGCGTTATACTTGATTCTGGCCTCACCTTTGAGCCTCACATGCAGTATGTTTGCAAATCCTGTAGATTCCATCTTAAAAACAAAGTCCTCATCCACCCCTTTGTTACGCAAGATGCTACCAAGGAGCTTGTCCATGCTCTAGTAGTTTCTCGCATAGATTATTGTAACCCTCTCCTAGTTGGTCTTCCCAGAAGCCGCATTGCCCCACTACAGTCTGTAATGAATGCTGCCGCCAGACTGATTTTGCTCTCCAGTCGGTCCTCTCACCCCTCACCCCTCTGTATGTCATTACATTTAGTTCCTGTATCCTATAGGAGTCAATTCAAAGTACTAACCTATACCTATAAAGCTTTGAACAATTCTAGCCCCTCTTACATCTCTTCACAGATCCATAGGTATGCCCCTTCTCGATCTCTCCACTCTGCCTGTGACCTTCTCCTGTCCATTGCTGACACCCGTACGGCCAACTCACGCTTGCAGGACTTCTCGGGGGCGGCTCCCTTCCTATGGAATAGCCTGCCTACTGCCATTAGACTCTTCCCTAGTCTTCAATCATTTAAGAAGATCCTTAAAAACCATCTCTTTAGGAAAGCTTATCGCCTCCCAGAGTAACCTCTACCTCACATACCTGTCTCTTGCTCTCTCCTAAAGGGCAGCACTCTACTCTCTCCTCTAGCTCTGCTTCACTCCCACCTTATTTGATTGCTATCTCCTGTCCTATTGTGTTTTTACCCCACCTCCTATAGACTGTAACCTCATTTGAGCAGGGTCCTTTTTAACCTATCGTTCCTGTAAGTTCCAATAATGTCCACAATCCTAGTAGAGAAAGAGGAAAACAAGTTTCCATGAGCTATTAAAAGTAAGAGAGTTTGACCTAGGTATCTAAGTAATGTCTGCTGGAAAGTGTTTTTTGAATAATTTTTGATGGTTTCTAAAATCTGACTACAATAAAATATTTGGAATCATAGTGGTTAGTTATCGAAACATACACTGGATGTGGCTAATGCCAATTATGTCCAACAAAAATTGTGTCTGTTCCCGTTCTCCACTCAGTACTCCCTGGCCTCCCTTACCCTCCAGTGGCAAGGATTGATGACAACCAAGGAGGATTGGGCTGAAGGAAAGACCTTGGAGCAGAGGTAAGTTTTTACATTTTTTTTTTCATGGTTTTTGGTTGGAGTAACTCTTTAAGGCTTTTGTCCGGCACTAAAACACAAGCTTTTCAAGACATTCAAGTGTATGATTAGAATACAGTATCAGAATTGCAAATGGATACATGTCTTAATATAATCCGACATGTTTTCTTTTGAGTAACCCTATTTTTTGTATATTCTTTCTATTCTTTAATCTGATGACAAAGAAAAAAAAAACATATACCGTTTTTATGTACCAGTATACACAAGACTTATGAAAGTATTCACGGTGTGATTAATAACTAATGTATGCATACTCTCCAAGTATTTTTTCTAACATGTATCTAAACTTTTACTGTCACCTGCATGTAAACCACTGGTGTGTGCAATGGAATAATGATACCCTACATCAATCAAGAATTTAAACATAGGGTGTATGTTTTAATCAAATATTTATACAGTCATAAGATCATTATTTGAATCATCCTATTTATCATAAAGAAACCAACGCAATTCTGGATCGACATATGAAATGTCATCTGATTAACATCTATATGCTACAAAGCAAAAATTATTCAAAATTGTAATAGAAAAAAAAAGATTATAGAACTCACAAACAATAAGAAAGTGCAATTATACATAATACATGTACATACATGTCTTTTTTTTAACAATTATTTTATTTATCTTTTCTTAGACAATCTAATCAGAACCTCAGAACCACAGGAATCGAAAAAAAAAAATTACACCTCTCATATATGCCATTAAAAAAATTATGCCGGTAAAAAAATTAAATCTCTCATGTATGCCATTAAAGGGACACTATAGTCACCAGCTTATTTAATTTGTTCTGCTGAGTAGAATCCTTACCTTCAGACTTTTTGCTGTAAACACTGTATTTTCAGAGAAAATTAAGTGTTTACATTACAGCCTAGTGATAACAGATGACTGTTAGAGATCCTTCCTGGGCCATGGCTGCCTAAAATGCATCCAAACATCCTTTCCTCATAGAGATTCATTGATTCAATTCATCTATATGGGGAGATGCTGATTGGCCAGGACTGTGTTTGAATTGTGCTGGCTCTGCCCCTGATCTGCCTCTTTGTCAGTATCAACCAATCCTAGGGGGAAGCATTGTGATTGGATCAGGCTGCCACTTCTGATGATGTCAGCAGGCAGTGGGCAGGTCTAAAGGAAACAGGTACAAAGCATGCAGCTGCAGACTTGAATACAAGTAAGATTTTAATATATTTGGGGAGGCATGAGGGGACCAGGGTGGCTAGATGGTGGGTTTTACCCTATGGGGTCAGGAATACATGTTAAGTGTCTATAATAGATGTGCCCAGACATGTGCTTCAGAATTGCATCCACATTTTGTAAGGGGAATTTTTTGTGGGTTTATATGGAGAGGATTAAAAACATCTCTATGGAATGGCTTTAAATGTCAATGTTGCTATATAGATACATATTGTCACTGATTTATGTTTACAAAAACATAAGGATAAAGTGGTGAATGAGAATGGTAGCTCTGCTTTTTCCAGGAGTTTATTAGAAATGAGCTATGGTCAGTAACCTCTTTCCAGCACTAAAGGTCCCTTGGTAATGGCTAGGTCTCCTCCTACCGTGACATTGTGTTGACTTGGGACCTAATGCACATGCATAGCAAGCTCTGTGCACTCATTAGACATTGAATCAACAGGCACACAGGGGCGCCGCAAGATATTTTCCAATGCTTTGATGATAGCACCGGGAACCATACTTCCCTCTCCCCTGCTGGCTCTGCAGGACCGGAGGGGAGATCAGAGATCTCCCTCTGTGGCCCACTATCAGTGTAATGCTGGCAGCCGTCAGGGGAGGGAGAGAGGACATGTGAGAGCTGTAACCTGCAGCTCCGCCAGGTTCTCCTCTCGCAAGCTTGTAGTGTTGCCGTGGTTATCATGACCAGGGGTGGACTGACCACTCGGGCATATCAGAGATCTCTCCAAATCGAACAGCAAAATTTAAAAAAAATGTCTTTCATTTTTTGCTGCTATGACACCTGGTGCAGCCACAAAGCTCACTGACTCCCAAGCCTGGCCAGCCCTGGTGGCACCCTCCTGCCTGATGGCACCGGTGCGGACCGCCCCCCACTTAGTATGCCACTCCCTCCCCCCTCTGTCACTAGTCACCATCTCCATCACTCTGTCACTGTGTCACCCCCTCTGTCACTAGTCACCCCCTCCCTCCCTCTGTCACTAGTCACCCCCTCCCTCACTCTGTCACTAGTCACCCCCTCCCTCTGTCACTGTGTCACCCCTCCACTCTGTCACTGGTCACCCCTCACTCTGTCACCCCCCACCCTCTGTGTCACTGTGTCACCCCTCCCTCCCTCTGTCACTAGTCACCCCCTCTGTGCACTAAGTCACCCCCCTCACTCTGTCACTGTGTCACCCCCCACCCTCTGTCACTGTGTCACCCCTCCCTCCCTCTGTCACTGAGTCACCCCCTCTGTCACTAGTCATCCCCTCCCTCCCTCTGTCACCAGTCACCCTCTCCCTCACTCTGTCACTGTGTCACTCCCTCCCTCCCTCTGTCACTAGTCATTCTGTCACTAGTCACCTCCTCCCTCCCTCTGTCACCAGTCACACCCTCTGTCCGTCACCAGTCACCCCCTCCCTCTGTCACTAGTCACCCCTCCCTCCTTCAGTCACCTTCTTCCTTTGTCATCAGTCACCCCCTCCCTGTCACTAGTCACCCCTTCCCTCCCTCAGTCACCCACACCCCTCCCTCTGTGCTGTCACCCCTCCCTCCCTCTGTCACTGAGTCATCCCTCCTGTCACCTAAGTCACCCCCCCCCTCCCTGTCACTAGTCACCCCCCCCTCCCTCTGTCACCTAGTCACCCCCTCCCTCCCTCTGTCACTGTGTCGCCCCCCCCTCCCCTCTGTCACTGATCACCCCTTCCCTCCCTCTGTCACTAGTCACCCCTTCCCTCCCTCACTCTTTTACTAGTCACCCCCTCCCTCACTATGTCACTAGTCACCCTTCCCTCCCTCACTCTGTAACTAGTCACTCCCTCCCTCACTCTGTCACTAGTCACCCCATCCCTCACTCTCACTAGTCACCCCATCCCTCCCTCTGTCACTAGTCACCCCATCCCTCCCTCTGTCACTAGTCACTCTCTCCCTAACTCTGTCACTGTGTCACCCCCTCCCTCACTCTGTCACTACTCACCCCCTCTGTCACTAGTCACCCCCTCACTATGTCACTAGTCACCCCATCACTCTGTCCCTCATAACCCCCTCCCTCACTCTATCATTAGTCACTCCTTCCCTCCCTCACTCTGTCACTAGTCACCCCCTCACTATGATGACAGAGTGAGGGAAGGGGTGACTAGTGACAGAGTGATGGAGGTGGTGACTAGTGACAGAGGGAGGTGGTGACTAGTGACAGAGAGAGGGAGGTGGCGACTAGTGACACAGAGAGGGAGGTGGCGACTAGTGACAGAGAGGGAAGGAGCAACTAGTGACAGAGGGAGGGAGGGTGTGACTAGTGACAGAGTGAGGGAAGAGGTGACTAGTGAAAGAGGGAGGGTGTGACTAGTGATAGAGGGAGGGAAGGGGTGACTAGTGACAGAAGGAGGGAAGGGGTGACTAGTGACAGAGTGAGGGAGGGGGTGACTAGGGACAGAGTGAGTGAGGGGGTAATTAGTGACTGTCACCCTCTCCCTCACTCTGTCACTAGTGACCCCCTTACTCTGTCACTAGTCACCCCCTCACTCTGTCACCAGTCATCCCCTCACTCTGTCACTAGTCACCCCTTCCCTCCATCACTCTGCCACTAGTCACACCTTCCCTCCCTCTGTCACTAGTCACTTCCTCCCCTACCTCCTTCTATCACTAGTCACCCCCCCTCACTGTGTCTGCCCCTCACTCTGCCCCCACTCACCCCCTCCCTCCCTCACTCTGCCACCAGGTATCCCCTCACTCTGCCACCTGTCACCACCTCCCACACTCTTCCACCTGTCACCCTCTCCCTCACACACTCTGTCACCTGTCACATATGCATTCACACTGACCCTATATACAGTGGTGTATCCTGGTTTTGTGCTGCCCTAGGCAGGACAAAACTCAGGCCCCAGCGCCCAGCCAGCCCCACCCAACCCTTCCCCGCCCCGTAAATACACACACACACACATTCACTGACAGATAAGCATACCTGCGCTAACAGACACACACACACTCACTAACAGACACACACACTGCTCTAACAGACACACACATACTCACTCCTAACAGACACACACATACTCACTCTAACAGACACACACACACTCATAACACAGACACACACACACTCACTCTAACAGACACACACACACTCACTCCAACAGACACACACACACACACACACTAACAGACACATACACATACAGACACACAGTCAGACATACACTAACAGACACACGAACTCACTAGCAGACACACTCACACAGTCAGACACACACACATACACACAGTCAGACACACACACACTAACAGACACACACACTAACAGACACACACACTAACAGCCACACACACACACACACAGTCAGACACACACATACACACAGTCACACACATACACACTAACAGACACAAACTGTCAGACACACACACACACTGACAGACACACACATACACACTAACAGACACACACAGTCAGACACACACTAACAGACACACTCACACAGTCAGACACACACACACACACACTAACAAACACACACACATTAACAGACACACACACACACTTTTTTTTAATTTACCCCCCCTCCTTACCTTTGGGAATGCTGGGGGGGAGGGTGGGGGTTCTCCATCTCCCTGGTGGTCCAGTTGCTGCGGACGGCGCTGGGCTGGCGGGCGGGCGGCTGGTGAGGGAGCTCTTCCCCTGAGCTGTCCGCTCAGCTCCCTCGCGCGCCACAGAGTGAGGCTGGGAGCCGGAATATGACGTCATCTTCCGGCTCCCAGCCTCACTCTGCGGCGGGCGAGGGAGCTGAGCGGACAGCTCAGAGGAAGAGCTCCCTCGCCAGCCCGCTCGGCATGTCTGTTAGCAGCGAGGCTAACAAGGCATTGGCCCTGGGCATTTGGGGGCGGCGTTTTTTGCCGCCCCCGAAAAAATGACGCCCAAGGCAAATGCCTTGTTTGCCTCGCGGCTAAAACGCCCCTGCCTATATACAAAAAAGCACATGTAGTCATCCAGACATGCACAAGTGCATTCACACAGACTCAAATACAAACATGCATTGATACAAAGGTCTTCACAATATACACATCCAAAGGAATGCCGTATTATATGAGAGTTATATTTAAAGGGACACTATAGTCACCCAGACCACTTCAGCTCAATTAAATGGTCTGGGTGCCAGGTCCCTCAGGTTTTAACCCTTCAGATGTAAACATAGAAGTTTCACAGAAACTGCTATGTTTACTTAGCAGGGTTAATCCAACCTCTAGTGGCTGTCTTCCTGACAGCCGCTAGAGGCGCATCTGTGATGCTGGATGTGAAATTCTGATCCAACGTGCAGAACGTCTATAGGAAATCATAATGCTTTCCTATGGACTGTTTGAATGCGCGCGCGACACTTGGCGTGTATGCGCATTCTGCTCCACTCGGGAGCTGACGTCGGCGGGGAGGAGAGGTCACCGGAGCCGAGGGAGCCCGGTGCTGCATAAAGGTAAGCTGCTGAAGGAGTTTTAACCTTGTACTGTCCCCCCTACCAGGCAACGGTAAGCAGGGAGGGGGGATATGAAAAAATAAAATAATTTAAGAATATATTTATCTGCCTTCCTACCCCCACAGACCCACAATAACTCCCCCTATACAAACAATTACCCCCATACACACACTACCCCCCACACACACTGCCCCTCCATTCACACATATTACCCCCCATACACACCTCCCATACACACACATTACCCCCCAATACACACTCACTGCCCCCCCATACACACATACAGTACCCATCACACACAATGTACCTCTCAAACACTGCCCCCACACACACAATGTACCCCTCACACAACCTGCCCCTCCACACACTGTACCCCTCACACACACACTGTACCCCTCACACACACACTGTACCCCTCATACAACCTGCCCCCACACACACACTGCTACCTTCACACACACACACACACACACACTGCACCCCTCACACACACACTCCACCACTCATGCACACACATTTTGCACCCACTACTGCCCCTATCCCCTACTACAGCCCCTATCCTGGCAGATCCCAGGTAAGTTATCAAACTCTTCTTAAACAGTTTCACTACTTACTCTGGGAGAGCACTATGGCACTACTGGCACCATAACCACTACAAAGTGCTGTAGTGGTTATTGTGTCTGGATTGTTTCTTTAAATAATCTACCAGTGCCCCTCCCAAGATTAGGTTCTGAATCTGCTCTTGAACGGCAAGCATTTCTACCAAACAGGGGAACATTATATGCCGCTGTGCTGTAAATATATACAGCCTAGTAAATTGCTTTAACTTGGGGCGCCTTGGAAAATATTGAAATATTAAGGGCGCCTTGAACCTAAAAAGTTTGTGAAACACTGGTCTATACAAACCATGAGGATGTCCAATGTCATTAGCCAGCCTGGAAAAAAGTTTTAAATGGCAATGCTGCAGAAACATAATGTAACTGTTTTATATAATCTGAATGTTTAAAAAAACATAACTATAAAGAGGTGAAGGAGAAAAGTAGCTCTGCTTTTCTGCAGGAGGTTATTAGAAATGAGCTATAGTCAATAATGTCCACAATCCCAGCAGAGAAAGAGGAAAAGAGGTTTCCATGAGCTACTAAGTATGACCTATGAATCTAGGATCTAGGAATTTGTCATGGAAAGTATTTTATGAATCATTTGTGTTGATTTCTAAAATCTGAGCATATAAAACATTTGAATTCTTAGTGGTCAGTTATTAAGACATACACTGAATGTATGAATGTATAAAAAAGAGAGCGGTCTAACGCTAAAAAATACTGATGGAGTAGACATAGGCAGCTCAGCAACCCAATACGGAATCTCTCCATAGAAAACTCACTCACATTTTGTGGAGCCTCTAAATGCCACCTATTCGCTTTGGCTTTGCTTGAGTATGGAATTGTCATAGAGACTTAATTCTACATTTATCTATTTCTTTATGAAGTTGATAGTGTTACTGTTATGGATATCAGCTCTCTCCAATAATTTTCACACTTTTAGCTTGGCCTTCCTAATCAGACATTTTGCTATAAATAACAACAACTAGATTAAACTGAAGTCAAATTTTGCATGAGAAAAACATGTTAATGATTTTGCAAGAACACTGTTTTGTGTATAAGTAAATCTTGTAAGTGTCATAAATAAATACTCAGATGTATTGTATTGTAAAGAGCCAATTTCCCAGGCATTAGATTAAAGCAGAGGCATTGTCTGAAGCTGATTTCAACGTTTGGATTAAAATGGACAGGAGGCAGCTGTATTATAACAAAGGGTTGTATCAAAGTGAAGAAGATCTCTGGAAATTCATACTTTTTTATGTTTGATTAGGCTACATAACTACTGCATGATTTTTTATATATTTGTTCCAAATTACAGTGTATTCTGATTATTGCAGATTTATTGTACAGCCACGGTGGGGGAATTGGTGCAAGGTTAATGTTACTAGTTTGAGGTTAATGTCAAGGATACAGGGTTAATACAAAAAGGATGGGGGTTAATAAAGCAGATGTGTCGAATTTAAAAATAGTCTAATGTAACAATATATATTACTCTGAATTCATTTAAAGTTTTTGGTGTCAGAATGTGGTTCATAGAAACTTATAGTTTAGGTTTTTACATAGGGCGTTGTGTAACCCTTTAAAAACAGAGGCTATTGTACAAGTTCTGACCAAAATAAAACCTAATATTTGAGCAATATGTCTTTGGACCATAATTTACCTCTTTCATATTAAGTGCACCCACACTTGTTATATATCATTTGGTTCAGGAGGACTTTAATTTCACCAAATATTTACATATGAAACTCAATTTAATATCATTAAAATCTAAAAAGAAGTGTTGATTAATAAATGTAGTTTTTTTCCATGTTCAGCATGACATTTTAACTGTGAAGGTCAACAGTACCCCCCATTTGCAGGTGTTATGGTATTTTGGAAAGTTACAAGGTCAAATATAGGGCTTTCTTCTTTCCAGTTTTTACACACTGAAATTTGCCAGATTGGTTTGTTGGACCTCTGTTGCCTTGGAGACCATATGGCACAGAGCTGAACCTGAGTGGGTGCACTGGGTGCACAGAGCCTAGGTGCTCTGTAGATAGAGGCTCATTGTTGAGGAGTGCAGCACTTGGCTCTGCCCCTTGTGTTTGGCTCCACCTCTTGTGTTAGGCTCTGCCGCTTGTATTAAGCTCTGACTATCGCACTGGGTGCCTGGGACCACCATGGATCAGGATTACCCCCTCTTTGGCCAAGGTAAGCCTCAAGGAGGCCCCATACCCTACTACAGCCCTATATCCAACCTACTACAGCCTTTAAACGACCTAATACAGATACTCTAGCCCTTAACTGCCCTTCTAAAGCCCATAGCCTCCCTCTCCTCCACACTACAGCCCATATCAACCACACTACAACCCCTTTCACCAATTGCAGCCATCCCCCCACTTTTTGTCAGAAGCTGATTTTTTTTATCTCTACCTAGGACTATCTGCTGTTTGACATATTTCAGTCTTTAAATTCTCATGTAGAATTCATTAAAGAAAGCTGGAACAATATAGATACATTTTATCACTAAAGAGAAATCCCTTTA